ACGGCACAAAATTGCACAGATAAATTGCAGAAATGATAAAAAGATCAGTATCATATGCATAGAAATAAAAGCAGAGATTTAATTTGCACTTTATACGATGAAAATGTTAAAAAATGATACTAAGTAATTTTATGTTTTTCTTAGAGTCGTCTCGACAGATTTTTGTAGGTCATATTGCAAATTAAAAAATATAAACAATTTATAATCTGCATCAAAAGAAATAACATGATGAAAAGATCAATATTACAACCAAGATTTAATGTGATACATGATTTTTATACCTAATATATTGTTCCGCTTAATTAAAAAAAAAATAATACAGGTCATTAATTCATGGAAAAAGTTTAACTAAACTCATTCGGTGATAATTCTCATCCAGTATTTTTTTATACACCACCTTGTTATAAATGATATATATATACTAATTCTGGTTATGTAGGTAAGCTTAACGGTAAAGTGACACTAAAAGCACAACACCTGTCTATGTTTTTGCTGTTACTAAACAAACGTCTCACTGTTGAATTTTACAAAAACTACTTCACGCAGCTTCTTGGTTCATCTGGTGCAGAAACATTGGTAATGTTAATTTTATTATAGAAAACAACAAATATGAAAAAAATTGTACATCATCGACCCTCACTTTTATGGATACAAGTCTAGCATATTTTACTATTTCTACATTGAAGTCTTATTACGAATTCGTCTTCATGTAGATTTGTAAATTTATTATTGGATATATAGTTGCAATGGCTTACAACTGCTCGGAATGTTGGGTCCGAAATGCTCTTCAACTACGTACTTTATTTGGCCTTTTTAACTTTATTGTTTTTCGGCGTCACTGATGAGTCTTTTGTAGACGAAAAGCTCGTCTGGCGTACACAATTTGTATCCTGGTATCTATGATGAGTTTACCTATAACAGCCGTGAAGTCTTTTTTCTATAGTTTTATATTCATGTTTCTTAATTTATACATACTTAAGAGTTAAGATTAGTTAAGCATAGTAACGTCTTCTAAAGTTTTCTTGTCATTTGTAGACTACCTTTACTGTTTAGTCCATTTTTTATTATATACTTATGACGCGGCTCGGTACTTATACATCCCGCCATTGTGATATTGTGTTATGGTCAATTTTGAATTCTTGTCTTTCATTTTTGCTCATGTACTTTTTCTATATGCCATTTTGTGTTTCTTTGTTGAAACAGTTATTTGTTTTTATAGTGATTAAGATTATATTACAATGTTGACTGCTGTACCTCAATTTTTGACGTTTTTACTTATCAAGTCTATTTATTTTGCTCACACATTGTTGTCAATATAATGGAATTCAACGCGACTGTCATACAAGTGAGAGGTTTAGCTAGCTATAAAACCAGGTTTAATCCACCATTTTCTACATAAGGAATGCCTGTACTAAGTCAGGAATATAACAGTTGTTTTCCATTCGTTAGATGTGTTTGAGCTTTTGATTTTGCCATGTTATAAAGGACTTTCCGTTTTGAATTTCTCTTGGAGTTCGGTATTTTTGTTATTTTACTTTTTTGAATAAAAAATGTTCATGTTGGATCCAGGGGATGGAGTCGAACATACGTTACATTAAACTGTAGTCGGCAAATAATGTTACAACCGCTTTTTACAGATTTAATTCTGTAGAACCTTCTCTTTTTTCAATTTAGTGGATTCATTAAGGCCTTAGCGTAACTCATTGTTAGAATTTGTACTACCATGAGCAATACTACTGGTGCCACAGGTGGAACAGAATCAGCATATCGTTTCAGAGCACATGCGATCACCCCAGTTCTAGTTGGAGATCGTGTTGCTCAGTTTGTCTGGGTTATTTTTTCGTTTTTATTTTTTTTTTGTCATGGCGTAGTCAGCTTGTCTTCGACTCGTGAGTTTGAATACCCCTTTTGTATCTTTCGTCCTCCTAAGCTAATACTGAAGTAGTCCTCAGATTGTCAACGAAATGGGTTTTGTTTGATTTGTGTTAACCAAATATCTGTTGCTACTGTCTACATATCTCATTTAATATTGATTTAATTTTAAAGCATTATTGACCATTTGCATGTATTTTTGTTAAAATTTAAAAAAAAAAATTATTTACTGCATATTTTCAATGTATACATTTGTTTTTGAATAATAAATTTTGAACTTTGAATGTTAAAACCGGAATGATCATTCCGGTTTTTAAGCGATTCAATGTTTAAATTAGGTTGTAAACTTTCCAAAAACAATAGCATCAGGTCAGAATCATTGATAACAACTCTGGGAATTCACTTTCAAAAGAGAGTAGCTGATTAAGTCAAAGAAAATTTAAATACTCAGTTAACGATCCCTTGGATTTGAAGGAAGATGTGTATATAATTTGAGCTTAAATGTTTAAAAATAGATGCATGTCATTTTGGTATCCCAAAAATATAAATAAGAAATAATTCATAGGGGGATTAAATTCATCGTGATTTTACCTCGGGTTGGCCCTTTATGCTAAGTATTTTACCACGAGCGAGAGAGAGGGGTAAAATATTAGCATAAAGAGCCAACCCGTAGTAAAATTAATATAAATTCAAGCCCCATGAATTATTTCTATTCTAATAGGACAAAGTCAGTAATTATTTTGGATCGAAGCGCTCAATGTGAAGGGAAATGTTTGCTGTTCCCGTAATAGAACACACTATTAATACTGACGTAAACGACGAAGAAAATTGAATAAGTGACATTCTTAAACGATATACAATAACATACTAAGACAGATTTGGATGAATTTAAGGTAGATAGGGTGTCTTCCTCCATCTTGGATATTGTAATACCTGAAAACAATCGGTCTAGATCTTTAATAGAATGTGCAAATTTTTAGAGTAGTAGGTAATTCATGTGTAAGAATTTTCATTTCAATATAGAAAATGACATGTTTTATCATATTTATGGTTGTATTTTACAAAAAACAGAAAACTTTTGTCTGATTCAATTTTTTCCAACTTTGCCACATAAGGGGAGGCAACTCAAATGTAAGGGCAGATAATTCAGATAAAGGTACTTTTACAATAGAATGTGTTAGGAATTTACCTATTTTATTATGTAGCAAGAAAACGGGTCCGGTGACCCCATTTTTTCTTTTTCTTATCTGAAAGCATACTATTAAAGCTATCTTCTCATATTTTATCTCAAAATTCTATGGTGTAGTTTTCGTTTTATGGCAGAAAATTGGGTTTTCCATGCATAATCTATACAAAATCTGTTAATTTTGAACAACCTGTAGCGTGAAAATAAGCCCCGTGACCCATTCTTTTTATCATTTTTTTTTAAAAAGCTTGATATAAACTACATTTTGGCAAATTATTAAAAAATTCTATGGATTATAATTTAGACACCCCATCTACCTTAATTGACTATTTTACTTTCATTTAAGAAGATATGGACATTATACAAATTCTTATCACTATCGTTTGTTTATGTTTTCATGGTTTGACGACTTTCAGTTTCCCATTTGTGCATTTTCCCGTAAAATCCTTACATTCTTATGTCAATGTTCAATGACGTCATTTACACCATCTGACGTGAGGTAAATCATTCATAAAAAGCATACGACGTGTGAGTAGGATTGGAACAGCCCAAACAAATCATGACGTTGCCTATCAGCTGACATATGAATATACTCGAATTTTATTACGGGTGTGTACTCAAAGCGTTTGAAGAACGTCATATGAGAATGAGTTTTAAAGTTATGAGTAAATGTGTACTGCTATATAGATTGCAAGCAAATATCGATGACAAAGGAAATAGTTTCTAGTTTATATTTGATATAACCATATTTTTTTTGGAAAACCTTTCATTATACTATTTATAAAAAAAAATTAAAAAAAAAAATCAAATCACGTGAAAGAAAGGCGAAAGATACCAAAGGGATATTCAAACTTATAAGTCGAAAACAAACCGACAATGACATGGCAAAGAAAACAAAAAACGACCAAAATACAACCAACAGTACACAAAACACAACATGGAAAACTAAAGACTGAACAAAACGACCCCCCACCAAAACCAGGGATGATCTTAGCAGTTCTGGAAGGGTAAGAAGATCTTGCTGCACATGTGACACCCGTCGTGTTACTCATATAAAATATGTTGATACGTTATATCAAATGATAGGGCATCACACAATAGTGGTTTGATAATCGACTCATCAAGGATTCCAGAATTATAATTTCAGGGTAATAAAAACTAAACTGTTTGAAACTTTGAGAATAAGAAATTTAAAAAAAAAAATATGAGTTAAACGTCAAGGAGGCAGCAACCTTAAAACACAAATAGCCAAGAGTATGCTTGATGATTCCAAATGCAAATAAGCATGACTGCTACTGTTAATTAATTATATAATTTTTTGGAGCAGTTAATGAAGAATAATGAAATAGCATAAGACGAATGCTACACTGAGGGAAGATAAATTCCTTACCCGATTTGGAATCATGGTTTACCTTGTCACCATCAACTGTCAATAATTTAAAAAAAAAAAAAGAAAAAACAATCATAGTCTTTGAGTTTCAATACTGCTGGACATGTTACTGAAACGGTTTATTTATGGGGAAATTATTCATAACAATGTCAAGATTCCTAAGATTATTGCTGTATATTTACAGAGCAATGTATAGAATCCAGATTAGCAATATAGGTTCCCTGAAGCCTCTAGATATCATCCCATTCAATAAATTTAATGTCAATAAACTCATCGTAAATACCAGGATTATAATATTGTACACCGGACGCCAGTTTCGTCCACATAATTTATGATGTAATTTGTATTCATTTATTTTTTTTATTTGTGTTTTGGCTTTTTATTTCGTTCCATTTCTAGGTCAGACGCATATTTTCTTCGCACATCACCATCTGAAAAGGTTATTGTATGTTTTTTACATATTGGTTCTATTAAGATACAAGATAATAGAACTGTTATATATATTTAGAACATCTTTTATCTAAAGACATTTTGTTTCTTTTTCTTTTTCAGATAAAGTAGTTATACGCAACTACATTATGTAAATTAAGGCGACAGTAGTTACTTAATTGATCTGAGAATGAGTGATACTTACTCTAAAATCCCACAGCCATTTCAAAATATAGGTAATAACATTTTATATGTATTTGAAAGTATTGGTAGTGGTAATAAAATCCAAATTTTCTTCCTAAAATGGCAACAGATAATATAGCGAAAACAAATCTTTCAAATCAAGCTTGTAACATTACAGTTTTTATATTTATATCGTATATGAATGAAAGGGGTACTAGTCAATTAGACAGCACTGTGTTTTAGAAAAAAAACACTTTCACGACAATTTCACCTTTTTTTGTTGAATTAAATAAGAACATTTTCTGTATTTTTTTTCTTGTATTATAGGTTGTCAAGACTTGTTGAAGGAAGCCATTTTAAATTGTGGTTGGGTACGAAAACAACATTTTGCCAGTAAACTTAAATTATTCAGATGTAAGTCTACATATCAGTTGAACATATTGGTAATAAGTTCTTTGGTATAAGAATGAAAACACGATTTATGCGTTTTCATTTGCAAATTGAGGAATCAAATTCATTATGGACAGTTAGTATAAAATAAGGACATGTGGTATGAATGCCAATGAGACAACTATTCGATAGAGTCCAAATGATGTAAGATTGTTTGGCATACAAGTGAAAGGTTTAGCTAGCTATAAAACCAGGTTTAATCAACAATTTCTACATTAGGAAATGCCTGTACTAAGTAAGGAATATGACAGATGTTTTTCCATTCGTTTGATGTGTTTGAGCTTTTGATTTTTTCCATTTGATAAGGGACTTTCCGTTTTGAATTTTCTTTGGAGTTCGGTATTTTTGTTATTTTACTTGGGCCTTAGTCGAAAGAACATTTCAAATTGATAAAGAGATATTTTCGTTTTAAACAGTATCTTTTATAAGACATTAAAGGATACAAGGTATTACCAAACATATTGAAAAATACAACAGATCACGCTAATCGTCTTAAGACGCATTGCATGGCATTTCTTTTGGGTTCATCACGTTCCCATATGTGTTCATCCACAAAATGTAGTTCCTTTATGATTTCTTCATTCAGTTCCCTTGAATATTCATCTAGTTTCTATGTGGTTTTCAACATCTGGTTCCTATACGATTTCATTTAGCTTTGATATGTTTTCAGGTAGTTCTCATCTGGTTTCAGTTAGCTTAAATATGTTTTCACGCAGTTCCTTTCTGGATTAATTTATTTTTAATATGTTTTCATGCAGTTCCTTTCTGGTTTCGTCTAGTTTCTATACGATTAATTCTACGTTCGTTATAAATATGTTTTTATAGTTATACTGCTAGACTTATTTTTGCAAGTATTATTCAGTGCATATTGTATCCACTGTAATATTCTGTTCTGTTCTGTTCATTCCAGGGCCTAAAGTATACATGATCCTTAGCAGAGGGTGTATATATTACTTTCGAAATGAATACTGTAAAACTGCTTCAGGAAAATTTTCCTTATTTGGATTCAATACGTAAGTACTGAGATACTTCTTGAATGATTTGCAATGAAGCATGTTAAATTGATAGTCCGCATATGTCACCAATATCGACATACGATTGATGATGTAACTTGTATAAATTTTATTATTATTAAATGGCATTCGCACAAAATAACGTAAATATTATGGTTATATATATTTTAAGAAATTATCAATTTATGTTAATATTGTCTATACGCCCCTGGCTAGCGACTGTAGGAGGCTAATTTTTCTTTAATAATGTGAACGTAACTAAAATTGAATTCTCGTGGTAGCTCAGATTAAGTTTTAAAATTACAGTTCTGTACATATCCTTCTTAATAAAAATTTCAAACCAGTGCCTGGTATTGCATAATTACACGAGATTGTTTCTCTGTCATCACATCTATTCTCAGTCCGTTTAGATACTGTTAGAGATCCTATAATTTGGACCACTGCTGTGACATCTTAGTAAAAGATGCTATGAAAAAAGGCGGAAGATACCAAGGGTACATTCAGAACTCATAAGTCGATGCAAAACGGACAACGCCATAGCAAAAAAAGAAAGAAAAACGACGAAAAGACTAACAAATCCACAAAACACTTCATAGAAAACTATATATTGAAGAAAAAAATGTATGAGATACATCAAAGAGACAGCGACCAAAAAGCACAAAACAAAAAACGACATCCATATTTGACACGTGAAAATATTCTATGCCAAGATATAGATAGATCACTGACAATGCAAGCTTAGAATAGCCACATGCGGCGTTTACCTGTATAACCCTCTTTTTCCATTTTAATGAGTTGGTAAACCAAAGATAAAAAAATATGTACAATCGAAATCATTCAGAAAAACTTATGCATTCAATTATACATGTATCGGTTTATTAACAAATTATACTTTTAAGCCAAATGAATAAAATCTGTGTTTAAGGTTTCTTCTTTTAGAAAGGTATGGTAGATAGGTTGGAATGTTTTGTTCATTCCATTTACCTTTTTACCTAGAGAGTATTAACACCATCTTCAATTTTATCAGAACACATGCATTTTTTTTTTATCTTACTTATCAACATTTGTACAGTATATGCAAATTTCATGACAATTCTTGTATGTTCATATATGTGTTTAAAGTGTCTGATTTAGAAAACATTGGCTTTATACCTTGACTAAAATCCTTTTTGTCGAGGATATGTATCTAATTTTGTATATTTTAATCACATTTTGTAAGTTAGAACATTTTATTAATGTTTTTGCTTCCCAACCAGGCCCTGCAAATGCGTCAAACATGAAGTTTTTTCAAAACAATTATAAATATGATTCAAATCAAATCAAATCAATTCAGTGATACCAAATGGCATTTACAAAGGACATTATAAAAAAAGAATACATAGACACTGAGACAACCATACACTGTGTTATAGAAGTCTCAGATAGACACATCTTTTCAATGAAAAGAGGTAAATATCTTAAGAGGGTGGTAAAGGGTTATTTTCGTGCAACGTGTTTTGCCATTTTTATTTCACGTGCTGCCTTGAAAAAGGTTCGTTATTCAACGTGTTTCGTGAAATCGGTAAAAAGATCAACATGCAAGAAATTTTTAATTGTTCGTTCGTCGTGAAATGGCAATTTTATTTCGTGTCCTTCCGTGCAGATAACCCCCCCCCCCCCCCCCCCCACTTTTACGTCCCTCTCTTAATTCCATATTGCTGGAAGTTGTTAGTTATGTTCTTTAAACAAGATAATACAATTAGATTTACCAGTACCACATTTCTTAACGACATACTATTTTCTTTAAATCAATGTTTGTCCTCTCAATTTCTTTCAATGGCAAACCGCAATTTTGTTTTGACATGATATTTAGATTTTTCTCAACTATGCTGATTATCGAGTTTACTGAAAAAAAAATATAATGCTGTAATGAAACGTAATTTAAGCGGTAATTTTCTGTAAATTTACTGTTTTGAAATGTTCAACTAGTTCAAAACACTTATTTTGTCTTTTACTCTGGGCAAAGACGGTTACCATGACTTTTGGTTTTCAATGCTCTTCAACTTCGTGAGTGATCGTTTTTCCAACTGTTTTGATTCGAGTGTAACTAATGTGTCTTATGTAAATGAATATGCGCGACTTGCGTACTGAATTATAGGCCTTGTGTCTTTGTTGAGATTTTTTTTAAAACAAATTAGTATATTATATGTATTTCAAAGCTGACAATCAAAGTCTGAATGCTCTGTATTTAAAACCGTTCCTTATCAATATCCAGTTAAAATATTGCATATTTGATTTGAACTTTTTAGGAACAAAATGTGCATAATTCAACTCAGGTTATGTATTTTCTTTCACCTAAATGATAAACTGCACACCCATATAGTTATAAAGGTTAATTCTTATAACTGGCAGCATACTTGTTGCGTTTGGATGTTCAACAAACAATCGTCATTCACTTGGGAACAAATCGTGCTTCTCGTCTGCAAGACGTATTATAAGACGTATTTCATAGTATTAAGTCTATCTTAATCTATAAGGTAGACTTAATACTATGAAAATAATGAGATGTGATATGATTGTCAATGAGGCATCTATTCCACAAAAGAAAAAAGTCGATGATGTCAACAATTATTAGAAACTGTACGGCCTTCAACAACTAACAAAACTGATACTGCATCATACATCCTCGTTTTTTTTCCAAGTTGTACTTAATTTAGCTGAGAATTAGTGATACTTACTCTAAAATCCCACAAGCCATTTTAAAACATATGTTATACAATTTTATATATATGAAAGTATTGGTAGTAGTAATAAAAGTTGGTGTAGTTACGGGGAGAGTTGGACGCTCACACACATGTTTAACACCGCCAGATTATTAATGGGCATGTTCTAAGTCATGAGCCTGTAGTTAACGGTTATCGTTGGTTGCTGTTAGTATTTTTTACTTTTAGAAAGTCGTTTAAGCATATATCAGGCCGTTGGTTTCTCTTTTGAATTAATTCACATTTGCTCTTTAAAACTTCTTTTCTTTAAATTAACAGAATTTGCATATTTAATGATATGTTGATGATTTCAGGGTTGCTAGAGCTACAGAAATTAAAGACGGTGAGGCACTTTATGCCTTCAAAATAAACCACACTCACCCTGAAGAGTTTAAATCTTACTTATTTGCCTGCTCCTCGGAAAAAGAAATGAAGGTAATTATCTATTGACAGGTTACTATCATCATGTTCAGGAAGGCACAAAACATAACACTCTGGTTTTCTAAAAAAACTTTTTAACCCGTATACATTATAGCACAGCTTCCTGAAATTGTAATGCAAAATCGTTGAAAAATCCATTCAATTTGAAAATATTTCAAATCTATCTAACTGTCAGCAAAACTTTTATCTTTGCTAATTTATTTGTAAGTTAAAGTAAACAAATGCTGTTCAGTGTAAGCCAAGGCTCCGTGTTGGAAGCCGTACTTTGACTTATAATTGTTAACTGTTTATACATTGTGACTTGGATGGAGAGTTGTCTCATTCGCACTCATACCACATCTCATTGGCACTTATACCACATCTTCTTATTTATATATATTATATAAACAACACCAAAAGCACTATGGGTTGTCACACTAGGCCTATATTTACATATGTTCTCGATGATTATTGGTTGACTTAATGGTTTTTAAACCTTTAAACATTTTCAAAACTTACAAATATTACAGAAAGGACTCTATTCAATATATATTCATTTTCATCAACCAGTGCTGTCAAAAAAGAGGTGGAAGATACAACATGGACAATAAAAACTCATAAGTCGGAATGATAACCGACAAGACCATAGTAGAAAAAGAAAAAGACAATGAAAAATAAAATCACAAAAACACTGAACTCCGAGGAAAATTCAAAAAGGAAAGTCCCTAATCAAATGGCAAAATCAAAAGCTCAAACACACTAAAAGAATGGATAACAACTGTCATATTCCTGGCTTGGTACAGGCATTTTCTTATGTAGAAAATGGTGGATAGAAATGGTGAAGAGACAATACAAAAGTATACAAAAAACTACATAGAAAACTTTAGACTGAGAAAAATGAAACCCAAAAAAATCCAGGAAAAATCTCAGGATGCTACTCGTATGGCACCCGTCGTGTTAGTCATGAACAAATAAAATTTAATAGCTTGTAATTTTGAGTTGCTGTTTCAATGATTTGAAAACTATTTACTTTTTCTCTTCGTTGAATATTTCAAAAGATATATTAGATCAATGAGTAAACTGTTATTTACGTGAAATCGTATAAAAAGAGCGATTGTTCTCTATCGCTGAAATTGCTACCTTCATGAATAGCATGTTTAAAGTTTACCTTTTTTAACCGGATTTTCGACAAAAAAATCGGTTATTGATTCGGGAATGTACGGCGGGGCGGCTGCCAAACAGTGTCTGTTCATTTACATGAAAACGCTTTGATGAATTTTGATATGTTGTTTCCTGTGGCTAAAAGAAGGTTAAGTTCAATTTTCACGACTTTAGCTTTTCTCGTTCTTGAATTTTGGACCCTTTTAGAAATCAGAAATTTACTTATTATGTGATTGAGTTATTTCCATTTGAACAGAAATTAATAAGTTTATGTATAGCTGAGATGATCAATGATTGTATCTGTTCAATTGATTAGTCAGAAGTTGTCAAAAATTTATAACTATTTTTTTTTAAGTCGTGTGTGTTTTGAAGGTAGATGTCACAGTTGTTATGTGGTATTTTATTTTTGTTGTGTGTGTTAATGTTAAATTTTTACTTGATCCTGTTTGGGTGTCCAGATTTGCAAATATCATTTTTATTAGATAACAATCTATTTTTATCAAAGGATATATTTCATTACATTACATTGTGTAGATAAACTTGTTGACATTGATAGTTAAGTTGCAGATAAGATATTAGTTTGTGACAAATGAAAGAAAAAATATTGGGAACTATTAATTATATTTGATTATAATTTGAAAACATCATATCAAATTTTAGAGAACAATTTTTTAGTGGTGAAATCATATCTAATTTTAGATTGCATTACTGGTTCATGAACACAAGTTTGAGTTATTTCCTTTTGAACAGAAATTATTCTGTATTTCATGAAAAATAGAATTTTTGGGGTTCTTTGATAAGCTGATTCTAACAATGTACTTAGATTTTGTATATTGGACCATAATAGGTAAATGTCCAATTTCAAATTTTTCAGTTCTTTGACCACATTTATTTTGTGTCACAAACCTATGCTGTATCAAATATTCAATCACAATCCAAATTCAGAGCTGTTCGACCTCTGCAGGAAAATCCAGTTTGCTGTCACTCTTACAGCCTCTTGTTGTATATTTCCGTTGATAAATTTAGAAATTCTTAACCTTTGTTCAAACTTCCTCCGGGATGATTGATTTTAGATGGATATGGATATTCTTCTTGTGTCTCATTTTGTAAAGTAGCTCTTCACATTTTCAAGTTCTTATACATCCTTTGCTTTTGAATATTTTGGTTAAAAAAAAATGAAAATAACATTTTATATTATATTTTTGTTTTCGAAGCGCTTTTCGGAACCCACCTTCATCAGAAACACTCAAAACCAAACATTTGAAAGCCAATGATAAATCAGTGCCGAAACACGTAAAGAGCTATATGACAAAAAGGGCATACATATGATAGCCAAAATCATTATAGGTCAACTTTGCCTGTGAAAGTTTGAACCTTAGTTTAAATGAATTATTAATTTATAAACGGACAATTTAGAAAAGGTATGTAATAAAACATGTCAGTACCGAATCGCTGACTACTAGGCTGATGATACTTTCAGGACGTATAGACCACTAGCAGCCGCATATATCCTGCTATAAGCGTTAAGCGTTTCTGACAAGTCCAGACAAGTGCTTCGGACGCACAGAATTTATAAAGTAGTTTTTCCATTAGCCTTAAAAGATATCGGTAAGAATGAGCAATGTTCATGATTCAAGCTTACTTGCTTCTGTTTTTGAGATTAAGTTCGCTCGAGACTTCACTTTTTGAGACAAAAAATTTAGTGGGGCTCATTCCACATTTTGGTATGTAGTGTTGTGAAGACTGTTTGTTTTTGTTTTTTTTTTTTTTTTTGTCTTTTCGCTGTTTTTTCATGTGTGCCATAGTTTTGTAGGTTTCTCTACGATTATTGAATTTTAATTTCCCTTTGTTATCTTCGCCCCTTTTTAAGTGAGATGACAATATACATAGCGGAACTTGAAATTATAGCATAATTATTTCCAGTCTTCATAAGCAGCTCCAATATGAAGTCTGCCTCAAATGAATAATAGAAAAAATCGGAACAAGTACAGTATCACACTTGATTTCCATATATAGGTATGCTGATGGACTGTTGAAAAAACATATCCTCCAAATGTTACAAATATGTTTGTCGATATAAAAATCAAGATTCTTATTGATATCATTTTCAGAGGAAAACTTCTTGTTTGACTCAGAATGGTGTTTTTTTTAAGTATGCATTATTATTTCGTATCAAATATCAAAGATACAAGGTTTTTAATTTTGGTACGTTAAAGCAAGATATTTGTTTATAAGTTGGCTATTCATTTTTATGAAAGAAGGTTAGACCAATTCGTACAATCTTCTTCCAAGTCTAGAATAAGGAAAACTAGTGTTAAAAGTAGAGAGGTCGAGTGCTTCTTTTGATATTTTAACTAAATTATGCCAGAAATAATGCACTGTCTTCTTGGTGCAGGTGGAGGCTTATACCCTAACAAAATCATACAGACCAAATGGTGCCAGGAATAAAGCACTAGATAGTTGGAAAAATGTTCCATCGGAGAATTATAGCCAACAATAGCGGTTTAACCCAGTGTTGGCAGCCACAAAGTACTAGTCGGAAAACTTGGGAATTGAACCTTAAGTGTCTTATAGCCAAAGAACAGCTATATATCTTTTTTTATTATTTATTCTTCAGGAATGGATGAAGTGTATAAAAGAAGAATTGAAAATTGCCAACGATTCAGGCAAAAGAGATGGAGATTATTATTATACAGATGGTTTTATGTAAGATTTATTTTTGTTTACACCATGATGCCACCAATGGTGTTGGATATCCTGCATTTATCATTCATGACCTTTAAATGACGTCAATATGCTGAAAGACCCTACTACTAAATTATTGAATTTTATCGTATTGCATTTAATAAAATATCATGGTGAAATTAGTAATGTTTCTAATACTTGCTCTCTGTTGTCTCAGTTTATATGATAGTCTGTATCTTTATTTTCATATCATGATTTCCTTGATAGCGAATTACTACTTACACGGAAGAATCATACGGACGCATTCATGATTTTATTTAGTGTCGCAGTGGACCACAGATAAAGTACACTTGTCGTAACCACTATTCCGTCCACTTCTTCACTATTGTGACAATACCGAATGCAACTTGTCACGTGATTTTACTGCATTCGCAACACGATGGGTGTCATCTGTGGAACAGGAACTGCCAAACCTTCCGGATCACCTGTTTTTTGGGGGGTTCCTGCTGCTGAGACTTCGGTTTTGCGTGTTATTTTTTGTTATCGTTTTTGTCTTTCCGTCATTTTCATTTTTGATCATGGTGTTGTCTGTCTTTATTTACCGCTTGGTATCTTTTCGCTTTTTTTATATTGTTATCAACAGTTTAGAAGCAAACAAAACTTAACCATTAGTATTAAATCACTGATTAAGTATAACAGGGGACTCTTGCCCTGGCGACCCACCTAGTCTCGGTCGGAATTGCAACAATTACATATCAGCTACACATTCCTATTTACCTTGCGCTTTCATAGTATTTATATTGTAGGCATAAAACAGAACAAACTCCGGAAGCTCAAGGATCGTCTGCCGATAGTGGATTTGGTCCATCTGCTGATGGTGATACAACCAGTATTTCGTCGTACAATTACAAAGATATAGAAGAAAGTATATACGATGATCCAACTGCTTTTCAACCGCCGTCAGACTATGGCCTATATGCTAAAAAGGCAGATGAAGGTAATCCTCATTCAGACTAGATTTGGTAACAAGACCCAGATTTTACATATTTGATTGATGATTTATAATGCAGAGTGTCCCAAAGTTTGACGTTATTAATCAAACATCAATAATATATTTTCGGTAGAAGTTGGAAGAAATTTGGTAAAAAGTAAAATCACAAAAATACTGAACTCCGAGGAAAATTCAAAAAGGAGAGTCCCTAATCAAATGGCAAAATCAAAAACTCAAATACATCAAACGAATGGATAACAACTGTCGATGTCCTGACTTGGTATAGGTATTTTTTTAAAGTTCCGTACTGACATGATTTAAAACATACTTTTTTTAACTTGTCGGTTTATAAATTAATAAGTTATTAAGAAACTAAGGTATCAACTGCCTCAGGCAAAGTTGATTTTAAAAATTCAGCGTTCTGAATGAAGGTAAATCAAGAAAAGCGATCCAGACGCACGAAGTTTATTAAATGTTGTTGTCCTTAATTTATTAGTTTACAAGCAGTTATAGTTTCATATTATTCTTCCATAATAGTTAATGTACTGGTTTTACAATCTTTACGTAACCTGAAGACGCTAGATGGGAAAATTCATATCTTTGGTCATACTTGAAAAGTTGTATTCAAACAATTGCGTCTTCCGCAATAAAATAATATTTTTTTAATAAATAAACAAGTGTGGACACAGATCAGTGTGGACAGTATGATTGGATGTTTGACAGTGTTTTATATGACAAAAGGAGTTCTATGTTTTATGTTTTCTATGTATTAACTGTGTTGCCCAATGACAACCAACATGAGCATTAGGTGTGTTGTTTATGTAATATTTAGTTTTTTATGTTCAACAGATACTAATTGCATTAATTACCAAATGATTATGATAGAATATATATGTTCCACATCTTTGATTTTGGATACATTTTGTAGCTAGGAGAGGAACACATAATAGGTTCATTTTTTTCTTAATGTGATTTTTTTTTATATGGGAGATGGTATCTGAGAACATGTATTTGCTTATTATTTGTATGGTTCTATTTATATTACTTTGTGGGGGATTGTCTGTATCATAAGTAAAAGATTTCGGTTAAATGTGGAAATTGTTTCTCAGTTTAGAAGACATTTAATGTTTTTTAGTAATGACAATGCCTGACATGATGATTGGGGCTAGATGAGCTAGAAAGTGAATTTCTGTGTTATTTTTTATTAATTCTTTGAAAATATCTCCTCCAAAGCTGGTCAAAGCAAAAAAAAAGTTTTGACCAGTATGAAAATGATATCAACAAAAGAACCTTTGTGAGCATGCTTCAAAGACTCATAACTAACTACAGAAGTCATATGATAAAATGTCAAGTGGATATTATGAACATCTACTTAATATGTCTAAATATCTAAGAAGTTTTAGTATTCAATATGAAAAAGCTATTGCAAAAGTATTCTCTTTTCAGTTTTTTTTGTTATATGGATACAAATATAAGTGATACCAATACAGTAAGGCAGTTTTGTTATGGTATGAAAGTGTAGTAACTAACATTTACTGTTAATTCACACAAATTAAGAAATAAACAAATGAATGATAAATGTTGAACATGTACAATGAAATATATTTTAGAAATCAATTAGGCCAGATAGGCCTTATAAATTCTGATCTTTTTCTTAATATACTGAATGACCATTTACACTCAGAACTGAGTCACCAGTAGGCAGTACAGATGTAAAAAAAAAAATGTGGATGGTGTCCAAATGTGGACACAGATGATGCCCCCACTTGCATATCACAAGTTATAAAGGGACATAACTGAAGTGGTAAAATTGACGCTACCCAAATTTGAACTTGATCCTAGTTTTGTGGTAATAAGCATTGTGTGCAAGTCTCATAACATTTGGTTGAGGCTAACTTAAGTAGAGAACAGAAACTAAAAATTCAGCAATTTCTATTTGTAAACATGCAATGAATAATTATAACTCTAGAACGGTTGTGTATAAGTTTTATAACATTTGGAAGTTAGAGAACAAAAACGAAAAATTCAGCAATTTTTATGTTTATAAAGGGACATAACTCAAGAATGGTAAAAGTGTTGCCACCAAATTTCGTACTTAATCTGTATTATGTAGTAATAAGCATATTGTATAAGTTTTATAACATTTGGTTGAGGCAAACTAAAGTTAGAAAACGGAAACAAAAAAATTTGTACTTGATCTTAGTTTTGTGGTAATGAATATTGTGTATAGGTTTCATAATGTTTGGTTGGGGCAAACTTAAGTTACAGAATGGAAACTAAAAATTTTGCAATCTTTCAATTTATAAAGGGGCATAACTCAATAATGATTAAAGTGACACTACCCAAATTCAACTTGATTTGTGTTTTATCAGTGGAAGTCAAAATTAAACATTGCATTGTATAAAGCATTGATTGTAGCTGATTCAACTATAATCATGGACAAAGGAAGATAACTCCAATAAAAAAATTACTTGATATTTAGAAGAAAATAAAAATTTTGAAATTTTTCCATTTCTTTAGGGGCATTACTCTAGAATGGTTAAAGTGACGCCACCAAAATTCAAACTTGATCTGTGTTTTGTGGTAATAAGCATTGTGTATAAGTTTCATAACATTTGGTTGAGGCAAACTAAAATTAGAGAACGGAAATGAAAAATTCAGCAATTTTTCCATTTGTAAAGGGGCATAACTCTAGACCGGTAAAAGTGACGCCACCAAAATTCAAACTTGATCTGTGTTTTGTGGTAATAAGCATTGTGCATAAGTTTCATAACATTTGGTTGAGGCAAACTAAAGTTAGAGAACGGAAACCAATTTTGGGACATACGTAGGTACAGACGGACAAGGGTAAAACTTAATGCCCCCTCTGATACGGCTGGGGCATAATAAAGTGTAACAAAAGAACCTAGCATCATATTGCTAGTAGCGCCAGTAGCATTGTTTGGTGAATTTGTGCTTCTTTTTTTTAGTTTGGCTAATGGACAAAAAATGTTTGGTTCAAATCTTAATAAAATGCTTTTATCTCCCTATTACTTACATTGTTCGTAGAATGGATACTACTTTGACAATTCCTTGTACATGAGAGTTGTCTGTCAAATCTTTATTTCACAAAGAATGAATTGCATAACAATGAACTGAGCTCAAAGCAAAGCACTTTAATAATACACTTAGACAATGAGCTCAATCCAGTGATATACTTTGTACTACAGGTCCTTCATGAACATCCTACTGGCCAAAACCATATCTCACAAACATGCCATACTACATGGTTGGATCAGAAGTCCTGAAAAAGACATGAACTTTATTAACATATTTTAAGTATATACACCGGTTAAAACTTTCACAAATTTGTGGTAAAATTATTCAGTATCTAGCAACTATCAATCGCTTCATGCACAAATTGATATAGGTTGAGTACCCCTCTGTCAGAAATAAGAACATACCTCCACCTAATTTTAGTTAACTGATGAAGAAACATTCAAAACTATAAAATGTTATCTAATAGACTAGCTGCAATGAAATCCCAGTTTTCTAAAATGGTAGGTGGAACCTAAAACTCAAAAGATTTTAAACTATGCATTTTAAATATTGCAAATATACATGCAATAATAATTCTCAAAAATTCGCTATAATTTTCCTCATTTTGTCTTTTGTTCGAGACTGTATATTGACCTCTAGATGTCTTTCAATTACATCCAGTTTGGCGTGGGTTGATGTTTGATTGTTGTACATGTTATATATAGACGTGGGATTTGTTTATATAAATTAGGCGTGAAATAATTTTGGTTAACTGAAATCCTTTAACTTACTTCCAAATTATTTGGTTAACTGAAATCCTTTAACTTACTTCCAAATTAATGTTAATACTGAGGGAAAAAATTACATTGCTAAATAACCACTTTAAAACACATGCAAACTTTTGGAGAGGAAGGCATAATGCATGTAACATCTATTAGATCTTTTTTAAACCATTCTAAACTACTGATAAGTGATAAAGTTTGTTAACTGTTACTTACCTTCAAAAAGGGGGTTGCATTCACTTTACTACATATACATATAAATATAATCAACAATACTGAGTGCAACACCTATGATAAATAGAGGATTGTTTTGTAAGAATAGTTGCTGAAATAAGCAGGCAATATTCAAAGTAGAATAAAAAATATTACAGGACTGTGTTTTAAAGTAATATGCATTGTGCAGGGCTCACGTTACCATGCTACTGGGGCGACAAAGTCGCTTTCCCGGTCGCCACTTCGTTTTGACCGACCTTCAAAAGTGAAATCTAGTCGCCCTGTTGTTTACGATACTCGCTTTCAGTTGCTTTCGTCATCGGCAATATTCAACATTTACCAAGTCGATAAAACAGCAATTTTTCATTTGAAAGTAAAGAAATTCAAAGACGTAAACAATTTATTTTCTTGAGGTTAAAGCATTGATTTTAAAGTTGGTTGCATGTTATTTTCATAAAGACAATTTTTTTATCACTTCTGGTACTTGTTACTCAATTGTAGATCAAATCATTCTAACTTTCGGCAAAATAAGCTTGTTACTTCATTAGAACGTGATGAAATTAAAGATTTCTTGCTGTTGTGCAATACTTAGTAAATCTATCGTCAGACTATAAACAAATAAAGTTCAATTAATTCCCAGTCATATTAGAAATTTATGAAACTGTAAAGGGAGCTTGCATCAATAGATATAAACAATTCACTTAAGTTTCATGAGAATTGCTGACAGCATTTTTGAGCTATTGTCCGAAAACTGGAAAATCACCCCTTTTTTAATGAATAAAACCCCACAACTCAGAAATGTTAAATGTAAAATTTATAAAATTTTAAACGGAGTTTACATCAATATAGATATAAACAATTCACCAAAGTTTCATACGAACTGCTGAAAGCATTTTTGATTTTTGTCCGAAACTGGAAAATCCCCCCTTTTTTCATGAATAAAACCCTGCAACTCAGAAATGTAAAATCTAAAATATATAAAAATCGAAAGGGAACTCATGTCAATAGATATAAGCAATTCACCACAATTTCTTGCAAGTTGGTGAAAGCTTTTATTGTCTGAAAACTGGAAAACCCCCCTTTTTTTAATGAATAAAACCCCACAACTCAGAAACGTAAAATCTAAAATTTATAAAAAAAGAAAGGGAGCTCATGTCAATAGATATAAACAATTCACCAAAGTTTTCTGCAAATTGGTTAAAGCTGTTTTGAGTTAATGTCCTACATGTTGACGACGGACAACGGTATACCATAGTACGTCCCATAAACGGGCGTATAAAAATGACAGGGTGTCATACCACACCAAAACCTTCTGAAAGAAACACTAAAGTTGGCAAACAATTTTTTTTTTTTTTTCATTGACAACCCTGTATAACCTTGCAGCAGTATCGAGTCTACATGCATTACCTTGTATATTTCATGTACATTGAACTTAAAAATATGTGGTCATTGTCAAAGTTAGTTATGTCAGTTATAATTTACACATTTACTGAAACATGCCAGAGAAGTGCATGTACAAACTTTTGAATTTAATCTGCAAACTGGGAAAGCCATCCTTTTTTACGAATAAAATCCCTAAATTTATTAAATTGAAAGGGAGCTTGCATCAATAGATATATATAAACAATTAACCAAAGTTTCATGACAAATAACAACTGCTTAAAACATTTTCGAGTTAATGTCCGAAAACATGGAAATCCCCCTTTTTGAATGAATAAAACCCCTTACATTGTAACTGAATAATGTAAATTCTAAAATTCCAAAACAATCTAAAGGGAGCTCACATCAATACATGAATACAATCCCATATAACTCTGAAACGGGAAACCTAAAATTTATAAAATATCAATTCACAACAGTTTCATGCAAATTGGTGAAAGCGTGGTAGAGTTGGTGAACAAAGCATTTTTAGAGTTAATGGGCGTTAACATGAAAATCCCCCTTTTTTAATGAATAAAACCTCACATTTTGAAAATGTATATTATAAAATTCCTAAAAATCTAAAAGGGAGCTCACGTCAGTAGATATAATCAATTCACCAGAGTTTCATGCAAATTGGTGAAAATATTACTAACTCAGTAATATTTTCACCAATTTGCATGAAACTCAGTGAACAACATGCTAGAAACAGACAGATCAGGGCAGACAGACAGACAAAGGCATACCATAATATTTCTCATGAACAGGCGTATGAAAACTGTAGGGTACCATTCCAGGCCAACACCCTCTGAAGGAAACACTATAAGGGAGCTTCCTTTCCATTTTTATGGAGGAAAAAGGGGGGGGGGGGCTAGGATGAAAATTTTTTGTCCTGCCTTTTTTTTTAGTTCGTGATGTAATCTGTCCTGCCTTTTTATTTTTCACTCTTTTTTGTCCTGCCTTTTTTTCTATTAGTTTATCCCGACTTGTTTACATAAATTGTCATCCTGCCTTTTTTTCATATTTCATCCTAGACCCCCCCTAAAAATCAAATGGTAGCTCCCTAAGTTAGCAAACAAATTATTTTATTTTTACATTGACAAACCTGTTTAACCTTGAAGCAGTATTAAGTTCATGTATTATCCTGCATATTATTACATGTACATTGAACTAAAACAAATTGTGGTCATTGTCAAAATTATAGTTTACAGTTTACTTTTCCAATGCTTTCAATTTAAGATTAGGGCATTTTTGTCATTGGAATTGAGTTTTGTAGTCGGAGATTACTCTAACCTCCAACAACTGTTAAGCAACACCAGCTACATGTAGGGCAGTGGGACTTCAGCTGGTCCCATATCATGATATTTGCCTGTCCGAAGCGGAGGCGACTGGATTCATATAAATCAAGCCTCAATTTATTTATTTTTCTCATCATCTAAGTAAGTTTGATCAACCTGCCACCCGTTATCTTCTCATATTTGAACAGTTTTCACATTGACCCATCAATACTGGCAGTTTAGAGGGTATGAATGCCCTTTGCCGTCAGGCGTCAAACAGTCATTTTCGGTTACCGTTAGCATCAAATTGGTCAACATTTTACCATGATTCGTCAACATATCCTTATTGTGATTTGTCAGAGGTCTCAAATAATTATCGTTACCGTCTATTTTTTTATCGTCTTGAAGAAAGTATTTTATCGTCATGCACAAAAAATTACCGTTAACGTCATTTGGCAGGATTTTTTACCATTATTCGTCATGAAGGTACCCCCATTACCACCCTCATTTTAACTTTCACTTTATAAGAATGTCACATGACCAACATTATGGGAACTGATTTATGCAAATGACCCATATTCCATAGGAAAACATAATCTATATAAATCAAGCCTCAATTAGTTCATTTTTCTCTTCATTAAAGTAAGTTTAATCGACCTGCCACCCGCTATTTTCTCATATTTGGACAGTTTTCACATCGACACATCAATACTGTCATTTTTACTTTAACTTTAAAAGATTGTGACATGACCAACAGAAAAAGTAATTTACAATGCATTTCATGTATGAGAGCTGATTTAAGAAAATGACCCTTATTCAATAGGAAAACATAATCTAACACCTCGTTCATTTATGAGGCAAATAAGCTGAATGGCCGAGTGTGTTCAATTTGAAAATAAAAGAGTTAAAATGCCGGAATCGCAAAAACAGATGTTGGACACCAGAGTAATCTCGGACTATGAGTATGAGTTTTGGGCAATTTGTAAGGGAGGGAGGGTTCAAGGGAAGCAAATGCTCTTTAAATTATGCATGTTTCAAAAATTGGGGAAAAATTACAGAGAGTTGAGTCATTTTTTTTCAGACTTAATTCAAATAATGACTAATGTAGAATTACCTTCTAATTCTATAAAAAAAATTCACAACTACTGAACAGGAACAATCATGGTACTTTTTTACCTATGAAACTACACTATGACATCTGTCGATGATCTGATCTGGAAAACCTACAAACAGACACAGAAATATCATCAAATAGTGAAATAAAAGATTGATTGCACCTTGTATGGATAGTTCCGACACGTGTTACATGGGGAGCCCGTTTGTTTACAAATAATAATGTCACGTGATCACGCACTGACCGTCACAAATTTTTATCACACAATATTACTGTACTTGCACAATTCACAAATGCATAACCCATTTATCTTGCGGACATGCAATGGGAATGTGCACGGTTATCAAAAACTACAAAAATATTGCATGTACAGTTAATGAAGAAGTTATTTCATCAAATAGATAAGATTTTCACTCATGACACAAATCGACTGGGTGTCATCGCCATCGGGGATAATTGATAAATGGGATTAAATTGACCGCCAAGAAGGTGTAGAGAACCACCTCTGGAGAACCTTAACATTAATAAGTAATACTCACCAACATTTCTCTTTAATTTACGCTATTTGCTGTTGGAAAATTTCAGAAAGATGCCGATAAACTTATTCATGATTTGGTGACACAGATTATTTTCTTGTTTCGGCGCGAAATATATTCTTACTCTTAATGCTTGACGTAACAAAATTTGTATAGAATTATATTTAACTAAAGCTCAGTGTAAATATGCAGAAGCATGACAATACATTATTAATAAAATGTGTAAATATTTCTGTAAAAGAACATAATTTTACTTTACCAGTATACTTCACTTAGAATTACATTTGAGCGCAAGAAAATCTCTATGTGAATCGGCTCGGGGTCGAAGTTCAACATTTCAACGGAAATTTTTGCGTGTGCTTGCGTTGCTTTAGATCGATGCCACAGCTTTTCAACCAATCGGGGAATGTTTACTTGGGGCATACATCTATTTTTACTGCAGGTTTCGAATGTTTAAATCGGAATTATAGAAAAATGGAATGTTGTTTGTAGATACAGAACAGACAATGATGAACAATTTTAGCAAAAGATAAATTGGATAGGGGGTCTGTGAATTCACATTATTTGTACAACTCTCCTTACTCTTGGGAAGCGTGTGCTTTACATCGAGGCTTGCGTTGCTTTACATCGAGGCTTTCGTTGCTTTACATCGACGCCATAGTAGTTCAACCAATCGGGGAATGTTTATTTGGGGCATACATCTATTTTTACTGCAGGTTTTGGCATATTTTAATCGAAATTTGAGAAAAATGGAATGATGTTAGGAGATATAAAACAGAAAATGATAAATATTTTTAGCAAAAGATGAATTGGATCGGGGTTCTGTGTATTCACATTATTTGTACAACTCTCCTTACTGATGGCAAAAAATGGAATTTCCGTGACCTAAATGGTTCGCGAAAATTAATATTTTTATATATATATAGTAAAAATCGAACACCCACGTTTTCTATACATCTGGTTATAATACATAAGATTTGAATGAGTTTGACACATTAATGATATTGACGCTTATTGCATAAATAAACAAACTGTAAAACGACAGACACACCTTCGTCAAAATTCCTGACATAGGACAGGGACATAGATAAGTGATAGGAATAAATTACTTTGTGCCGGTCACTTGACCTGTGAATGAAACTGAAATGCTGAAGTTAAAATACACAATAAGTAAATAAAATGAAATGAATTATTATGTCTATAACAGCATCCGATGATGAAGATATACCTGACGAACCACCGCCTGTACCCCCACGATTAGCGAATTCGGATCCAAGAACAAAGACTAAGAAAAAGAAGAAGAGAAAGAAAAATAAGAACAAAATGGACGAACTAGACCAATTGCCAGGTAAAGTAGTTTTTAACCTAAAAACAAGGTTTAAGATAACTAAAAAATATAATATCGCGCAATCAGAATCTGTAAATTTAAAAACTACGACAGGAAGATGGGTAAAACCTGAAAAGAGGAAATATTTGGGATTAACAATCAGCTGCTTAACATATGACTTAAACATTAGGAAATACTATACAAAGCCCGCTTATTGTCTAACTTCCAGTGGTATGCGAATTCATTGCTTTTTCTTTAGATTAACACTTTGATAAACAAAGTTCTGCATTATTATTATTTCATTCTAATTGATACTTCATTAAGATGTAGGGTGCCACATGCATGTGGAACACCTGATATATCCCTCGGTTATCATGGGGATCATGTGGAGCACCTGATATATCCCACGGTTATCATGGGGCTCATGTGGAGCACCTGATATATCCCACGGTTATCATGGGGCTCTTGTCGTCAATCTTAGTTTTTTGTAGTGTGATGTAGACTTGTGTTTGTGTTTTCGTCGTCTATCATGGTTTTGTCGGTTTTTCTTCAACATATGAATTTTAATCGTTCTTTTAGTTTCCTTTTGGTTTAAATTTTATTCACCGAAACTGAGCTGAATAGTATTCGATGTAGTTTAAACTTATCTCTTTAAATATGTATCAGCGAATGACATAACATAAAGGAAAGATGTAAAACAGGTTAACTCATTTGGGTGAAAGAAACTGTTTTATTGCATTATGTTTCACTGTAAATAATAGCCAACACTTCCAAAACTGAGCACTGTCAGATTTACATTTTTTTTGATAACTTGCAGATATATCAAAAGTTACTGTTTCTCGGACTGAGAGTGCAGCAAAACAGCAGGCAGATGCCATATCTGTGAGTATAATCAATGTGTACGACACGCGTTGACTGTCATCAGGTATTCTCGATATACAAACTCGGGTAAACAGATACCTAAATTTTGAATTCATCATTATGAAGAAAAACCTTAACAAGACATCTATAAAGAAAAAAGATTCAAAAGATACCAAGGGTATAAAAAAAGTAGAAGAAAAACAGACGATATAAAGGCTAAAAAGAAAAACGATGTAGAGACAATAAACGGTTTAAACAACACTACATAGACAACTGAGCAAACCTAACCCCACCCGACAAAACGATAGATGCTTAGGATGGAACGTAGATCCTACTCCAACTTGCCTGAAGTAATACAACCTTAGGACCTTAGCAGTACAATTGCATAGTTCATTAACCGGAACTCGACAATGAAAGTGTATCAAATATATATATAAAAGAGACAACTGCTATTTGTGTAAAACATAACAGCTTTTAGGTATTCTTTGGGTATTCTACTGACATCTAACCACACAATGTATCCTTAATAGTAATAGCTTAATGAGAATACAAATTATATTTGACACTTCAAATGAAACATTACATTGTATACCGATCGAAGCTCTACAAAACTTTGAAGGGACATAAAAATAAAGATGCAATTCCTAAAATCATTCATGCATGAACATCTTTAAGTGTACTCAAGTCTGGATCCAACTGTAATCCATTTGGTTTACTGAACCTGTCATTTAATATAAATTGTTATAATGTTATTGATTTTACTAGTATTTGATTACGTATATTTGTTTTTGATTGCAGGCAGAAATGAAGAATATGTTCGGAAAGGAGTAAGTCATTATTGTACCTAATCAACCAATCTCCTTTATCATAATTTCATTTGAAAAAAAACTTCTTAGTTTAAACATAAACTTTAGTCTGGATATTCATGATAAAGTTATTAAAATCATATAGACAATTCATTTAAAGTGTGATGATAAAATCTGCAATATAAGGTATGGTTTTTGTATATTTATTGTGTTTTTTATTTGAGTTGTAACTCAGTTTAAGGGAAATTGTTAAAATTGTCCAATACTGAATAACATCAGCACTAACTTTCGGATAAAAAGAATCTAGAAGACAAAAAGTATAACAAAAATAGCGAACTCAAAGATAAATTCAAAAGGGGGAAGTGCATAAAATCTGAATTGATACTAAAAGAGAGGCCAACTATACCAAAGGGACATTCAAACTCATAAGTCGAAAATAAACTAACAACGTCATGGTTAAAAAGAAAAAGAACAACAGACAAACAATAGTACACAAAACACAACAAAGAAAACTAAAGACTGAGCAACACGAACCCCACCAAAAACTTGGGGTGATTTCAGGTGCTCCGGAAGGGTAATCACATCCTGCTCCACATGTGACACCCGTCGTGTTGCTCATGTTACTACATACCCAGTAATAAGTCAAATTCAATTCTGTAGGTCACATTCGGGGAAAAGGGGACGGGATTGTAGTAACGACATTTGGAACATATCCGCTATCATCTGTGAAACGGATAGTTCATAACGGTCAACCAACTCGTGATGGCGTCCGTAAAATTTACGAAGGGATGATTTCAACTTCTCCACTTGGAACTCTTTGTTTAATAGCTTCCTTGTGAGCAGTTACTAACAAACATACTATCTATAGTTGCCTAAATCTCCTTCATTTGTATTTTCTGTTGTAAAGTTATTTAATAATCATACCACTTCTCATGTTGTTGATACTAAATATGAATTATAAAAATTACATAAATTATAATTCATATTGAGTATCAACACGACTCATCGGTAAGTTTTGGCAATTGAGCATGATCTACTTACCATTCTGGGACACCTGAAAGCATTCCCTGATTTTGATGAGCTTCGTGTTGCTCAGTCTTAAATTTTCTAGGTAGTGTTTTGTGAACTTTTGTTTGTCTTTTCTTCGTAGTTCTGGTTTTTTTTTTGTCATGACGTTTCTCTTTTTTTGAATTAGGAGTTTGAGATGTACCTTGGTATCTTTTGCCTTCTTTTAAAAGAAAATGTAGATTGTATAAATGGTCAAATACCACAATTAATGATCCTTATTTTCGTTGTGGACGAATATAAGTTATAGTGTATTTTTTCCTAATTTTTTTCTTTCCCTTCATCATTAATTTCTCAATTTTAGTATGATTGAAATGGAAGAAGAGATTTTAGATAAATTTATGGATGTTTCATTTTAACTGTTTAATTACTTGAAGGAGCGGTCAGGTAAGGTGCAAAAAGGTAGCATCCCTTGACTTGTCCATACGGTATGGAGTTGTACAGGCTGGCTAAATTTATGAACTGTATAGCATATTATGTATTTTTTTTAAATGTTGAATTTATTTTGGGACTTGTACATTACACATACAAAATATTTCGCAAAACAAAAACAGGTCCGAAGAACTAATAGGGAAATGAATTATGGTCTATGAACAAGCATCTTTAAACAAGACAAATTGTATTTAAACAGAAAACAAAAAAGCACAGAAGAACCATCCTCGACGAGTCGACAGAAGAAACAATCGAGTGTAGAACAACCCGAAGTTGATGATGTTGATGAGGTAACATAATTTTGTTTATTAACGTGATCTACCTTTGGCCACATGAGCTACTTTTGCGATTAAACATTTTGACTTAGTCAGTTCATGAAAATTAGGGGTGTCTGCTTCGTTTGTAGCACTGGTAGGAGATATATAGCAGATTTGCGATTCATGTTTTAGTTATTGTGTATTTAATAGTGTAATTTCCTATGTGAGTTCCTATATGACATTCTTCAATAATTCTGACCTAATCCTATGGCGGTAGACACTGTACAATTTTAGTTGTTTCTAACTGGAGTTGTCTATATTTGTAGGGCTCAGATAGGTTGATTTCTAGTAGTATCATATGGACAATATCTGTTGGAACTCCTGAAAATGTCATCAAATTAAATTCTGCATCTTTTAATTTTGTTATTATTTCATATTTAAAGACCAGCTGATAGCAAATGACACACAATTGTCTTTTATTATGCAGTTTTATTGGGTGAATATATTTAATGCAGCCGGTGTCGGCTTGGTATTGTTTAACCTACTAAGTATTTCAAAAGTTGTTTTCCTGCATATAATATACTCTTTCAAAACATATTCTTGTTTGGAATCTTTAAGAAAATCGTTAGTTAATATCCAACGCAGATGAAAGAAGTGAGCAATAAGAGATCGATAGTTTTAAAGAGACAGAGACTAAATATGCAAAAAAAATTAAAGTGAAATAAGGGATACCCCTTAATAAGGTCTGCTTCATAGCTTGGTCTTTTCCTTGATATTTACACAGATGGACGCCTTCAAACTAGAGACTATGACAACGTGGTGATTTCAGCTTTCCTTATTGTCCACATCTAATTTCTCTGCAGTAACATACCATTTATCCCATCGTTGGCCGTTAGCATATCTCAGTTTGAACATAATGTTGGTGCAAGTTCAGTTTATATGAACTTTATTTACAAGAGGTTGTCCCTGACATATAAAGTGCTCCGACTGGATTATAAGGAAGAACGACTGAAATCGACAATAAATAATTTTACGATCACCATCAAGACCAATACGATGTGTCTGTGTCTCAACTCACTAGCAACATGTTTAAGCTGTACTAGATTCATAGATGCCAGAATATTCGTCTGATCTGTTAATTTATCGACTGCCTGTATGAAATGTGACGCCTGGAAATCACACGGAAACCAGGCGTAAACTTCATATCTAAACCTGGCGTCATTGCAATATGAAGAGAATGCACTGTCCATGGAAGCGTCAACCAGGCGGAAACCAGGCGGAAACCAAGCGTAAATGAGGCGGAATCCAGGCGTTAAATTAGGCGTAATATTTAAATGAGTACGCCTAGTCAACAGAAAAACCAGGCGTAATATGCAAATGAGTACGTCTGGTCAAAAGAAATTTGGGCGTAATATTCTTACATAGTACTACACCTAATTGTAAAACCCGTACGAAGTTTTGGGGAGTATTACGCCTGGAAATCTGGCGTAAACCAGGCGTAAGTTGTAGTTACGTGTCTAGATCCAGGCGTACAAGTGCAGGAAACGTAAATTCATTCGTAGATAACAGTGTTCAACTTGGCGTAAATTAAAATAAACCAGGCGTAAAGTGTTGAAGGCGTAAATATTGACTCCCAGAATGCTTTATTTCAAAGGATCATGGGATTTTTTTTTTAATTTGGCTCTCTGGTATTATCTTGTAAGAGTTGGACTTATGGCAGCTTAATATATTCATGTGCTGTTTATCTTTTGTGTTTAAAAGAACAATTTGAAATTGAACTAACACAATTATAATATTGATGGTCAATTAATTTAAACATTGGAATGAATGAAATAATAACATGGAAATACTTTTGTATAAGTAATAACTTAGATATTCTGTACTTAGTATTGTTTTTAGCAGTTTAATTCTAGAAATCCTCAGCATGTTCACTTACAGTCACTATATAATTAAGTTATCTTGTTTATAAGTTTACGAATGTTGCTTACAATTTCTTATTTACATAAAACTTGAAATATAAACCATTGAAAAAACTACAAGAAAAACATTTGAGCCAGACACAGCTTTAGTGGCTTAAATGATTTTAAATTTTAAATGAGAATTAAAATAAATAATTTGAATCAATTCATTCATTGTCATGTGTCATTAATTGTAATTTGAACTAAAACATAACTAGTGGATTGCATACTCTAATTTCACTTATTTCGCCTCAAAACTTCGTACGGATGTGTCCATTTCCTTATTGTTACTTTTTTACGAAGTGTGCATTCTAATTGTGGATCATGCATGCATAACAAAAGACGCTTATCCTGTCAATGCACCACTTGTAGATCTTTTTGGAGTTCATGCTATTCATTGGTGGCCTTCGGTTGTTTTTCCGCTCTTTGGTCGGGTTGTTATCTCTCTGACACATTCCCCATTTCCATTCTCAATTTTATTCCCTCGGGTGTTGTTATATTACCTGGATGTTTATGTTTTGAATAGATTTATGAGATTTGAACATTAATCGGTGGAAAACTGATACCTCGTATCTAAAAGGGTGCTAAATGCGCATTCGTGATAACCGAGTAGCTGTTTAACTCATATAGAGCAGATTCTTTACCAAAAGTTATATATATATTATTAAGAAATAATTCATGGCAGCCGTAGATGTCTTTTCATTTAACCATGGGTTTGGCATTTATATTCGATTATTTTATCCGGGGCGATTTTGTTTTTATCTAATTTTATTGCATTCTGATGGGTACAAGAAGGCTGAAAACGCCCGGTATTTACATTTGACGTCGGAAGCAAGCATATGACGTCACCTTGTTAAGTTGCCAAAGACGATCACATCATTTCGCGGAATTTTGGTTGTATGAAATTTTACATTGAAAATAATAACTAAAAGTGATTGATTTGTTTATTTTGCATTAGAATAGAGATAACCGTATTGTATTTGAAGCTTGGCCTGCGTAAAACATGGCAAATTTCTGTTGAGTTTACCTGGTCGTATAAATAAGGGGGCGTAGCGCGTAACAGCCAATTTTGTGTACTAATGCGTCTGCGCTAAAAGTAAATATACTGTGATTATACTGGTTGACGATATATAGGTGGTCATATTAGAATATAATCTTTGATGGTATTGATAAAGAATATACTAGTAGCACAATTCCTTTCAAAATATCATATTTTTTTTTTCCAAAAAGGAGGAAGAGGATGAAGATGATGGAGATAAGTATTGGCAATCAATTCATTTTGAAGGAGAAAAGGAGAAGGCTAGCGAGTAAGTGTTACAACCCTTTGAAAACTATTGTCACTAGAATGAATATATTAAGGCAAATACATTCAGTCTGTCTCTTTTTTTACAGAAACAGCGTAGGTTGTTATTATGTATGAACAAAAGAGATAACAACTGTTTTATTGTTGGAATCTATTAGAGGTGGTATCCAAACAGAATCATTTATAGTATCTACAAATAATATTCTCCGATGCTTTCATTTCTATTTTGATTTAAACATATGACGCTTATTTCAGTATACCAAATAAGTATCTTGAACAGATTTTTACCAAGTAGGTTAGAGACAAAATGTTCAGGAAACCAAACAATCTGTGGTTCATTTCATACGTTTTCTGTATAAATATACGGCTAGATAATAAACTATTCTCCAAACGTTTTAATTTTCAGTTCTTCTATAGATAAAGCAACCAATGATTTAATTTTAAGAAATGGGAGTACCGATTTAGTGTTGACGAGAATACATATGATTCTGATTTTCGTGCGAAAGTGTAAGAATTATGGTTAGAGTGTTTTCATTCAGTTACCTACTTTATACATCGCTTGAAGAATTCATACTATCGATGAAAAATTATGTTTCAGTCTACCACGTAAACATACGCACATGTAGTCTTGTATTGTCTATTTTTAGAATTATTCGAGATATTGGCGAAAATGGTGTTTTCTTAGTACGAAAAGGAGATGACGGCGGAAAGGTATTTTATCAACATTATTTGATCTGCTTTTTCTTTTTTTTATAGGGGGGTCAAGCCATCTTCACGATTAAAATGAAAAAGAAGGAAAATTACAAAACCTTTTTTAAACCTTTTTAAGGATAAATAAGCTGGTACTACAAAAATAATAATACCTAAGTTGACAATTATTTGTAATGAAGCGTTTGTCCCATTTTAAAATAAATAGGTTTCGTCCATCTTGAGTTGGCTTTAATAACATTAACGGTGCCAATTTTAACAACACCAGATGTGCATTTCGACAATTAATGTCTCCAGTGATGCTCGATGCCTAAATATTTGAAAATCAAAATCACAATAACAAACGTTAAAGAGATTATAAATTCAAGAAGGACCAAAAGAATAGCCAAATCCAGACAAGGAATAAGAGCTTTAAGATATGAAATGGTACATTGGCAGGTTTAAGATTATTGCAATCTTCGAATAACAAATATAAAAAAGCGAAAATTATAAAAATGGCGGACTTTTTTTTATCGACTGCATATTTATTATTGGGATTTGTAAATTGATATTTTCTTAGACATTCCGTATTCCGTTTGATGGAAAATATGCACCTCTGCTAGCCGACATATTCCTATAAATGTATTCATTTGTAGCATAATATTTAAGAAGAAAAACAAATATCCAAAACAAACATTATCTGACAAAATCCATTACTTTCCCTATCAGAGTTATCAATGATATTTCTCTCAATAATGTTATATATATGTATCCTTAGGATGATAAAATTATGGATACTTTAAAGTCGATTATGACCTGTTTATTAATATATTTTTCTAAGAATTGATGCTAAATTGCAACTAAAAACTATGTTCCATGTTATGTAGATTTCTACAGTGCAATACACTACAACTTAATGATATCTTTACAAATATTGTTGACTCTACTACTATATATCAGACAACACAAAAATTGAATCATAACATTATCTGTTACTTTGTGGAAGCTCCCCACCTACTCACATTTTTTGTTTCATTTTTGCACTTTAACACTTTCAGGTATTAGTAGTTTTTGCAGACAACATGCCAAAAAAATATAAAGTTAATTGTAAGGTAAGTACTTAAACATTGATCATTGATAATGTTTTTGTTATTTGGAGAGAAGTTGGTGCTAATTGGAGATTCTGCACAATTTGTTCACAACTTTTACGATTTTTTAACCTACATATTCTTGTTATAAAATTTGATCTAGCAATATGAATCGCCACATTTTTTTTGAAAAGGGAAATCCATTGGTAAATCATTCATTTAAACATAAATTTGTCCTAAATCATTCATGTAACTATAATTTTGTGGTAAATCATTCATGTTACCATAGATTTGTCAAAGGACATACGGTGACATATAATTGCTTTCATTCGAACCATTTTACTCTTGTGGAAAGTTGTGTCATTGGCATTCATACCACATCTCCTTATTTTCATGGTGTCCCAAACTTCTGAAAAATGCTTTAACACTTTATATCAAAATGATTATATATTACGTACAAAATATATGCTTACTTCACAAAATAAATGGCTTATGGAACGGTTACAATACAAAATTTAAGAAAAGTGTTTAGTAACCATAATAAAAATCATGTATTTCCTTTTGAAGAATGACGAGTACTTTATTGCAACGGCAGGACCACATGCAGAAACGTTGGAAGAACTATTATTTGAATATTTCACAACAGACTTACCTAACACAACAGTGAAATTAACAACGCCATTTCAACAACATCCGAGCTTCCAATGAGACAATTCAATTTGTATGAGAAAAGATACGTAAACAATGTGTTGTATGCAGCAAAAAGTATATAACAAACAGTATTATGGGTGGATTGATAAATTGTGATTTGCTTTAATTTAGGTCTGAAAACATTTATTCAGAAAAATTTAATATTCATTTAATAGTCATTTCTCGAGCTTTTTAAAAATTTCATCACAATCCCTTAGATACACGTATAAGTTGAAACAAATTTGATAGAATTGTTCACTTGTTGAGGAATTGTTAACATTTATTAGCACCGTTATTATTTTATCTGTGAATCACATCCAAAACACGCCATGATTTTTTTTTGTGCTGTAGTGTATTCGATTTCAAATATGTTAAGTATGTTAATCCACCTTAAAGAGAATCTAGAATACTGGACTGAGAAAATATCTTTAATATTTTGATGAAATATGTGAAATATGTAAATGAAATAATCCTTTCATTTCAAATTGCATTTCATATCTGAAGGAAAGAATTTGTGGTTTTCAAAGATGTCAAGAACAATATTTTGTAATATTTACTCACCTAAGAAAATAAACATTCAGATAACGGTCATCATAGCCTTTGAGTCCTATCTATTTTTCAAATTATGGCACCCTCAACGGAGTTGGGGTGACATATTGTTATTGTACGTTTTTTTTTTTCTTATTTTTTTTCTTCCACTTTTTTTGTCCAGCTTATATCTTGGAATTGGATGAACCAATTGTAATGGAACTACACACAATGTTAACCAGCAAGTGCAGATTTGCAATCGGGGTATGGCATTTTCAAGATGGCTACCGTTGCCATGGAAACTGCTAAAATGCGAAAAAAATTCAAAATTCTAAATCTTTTATTATAAGACCCAACTGGATGAAACTTAATAGAAATGTTACTTGGTATGCCTAGATGTGCAGACAATATTTAGAAGTTTCAAAATGGCCGCCATTGTCATGGAAACGGGGCGAAAGTTTAACATTAACCTAATGGGAAAATACATTAAAGCTGCATTTCCTTAAAAAATATTGAATCAAACCCAATAAAACTGTATGGATATGTAGCATGGCATGTCCCAAAGTGGCACCTGTCTTTTGAATTTTCAAAATGGCCGCCGTTACCATGGAAACAGCCAAAATGTCAAACATTTCAAAATGTGCCAAACTTTCTCAAACTTTACAAAATTCTAATGGCCATGTGTAGATGCACTGTTCGACTTTAGAATTTTCAAATGACTGCCGTTACCCTGGCAATGGGGGGGGGACGAGGGTGCCATCCGTTATTGCTCGCAATTACAAATCTAGTTAATCAATAGTATTGCTTCATCTAATTATTGCTTCCTTGTGTATAAAATTCTCAACATATAACTAAGTTTGTCATTTTGCAAATATCTGTGATCATCCTTTCCATATTTTATTGATATTTGTACAAGCCAGTACATGGATGGATAAGGCATATATAAAACCCTAATCCATCATTAAAATTGCACGTTTTTACTTATTATGTCACAAATTGTAGTGTGTAATACATATATGTCTTTGTTTATCATGCTGCTATGTATTTTGTATTCCAAGGTTATACATGTTTGATTATTATTGCATTGTATATTTCATCTATGTCATATTGTTTTTGTCTTATTTATTTCATATTTAAATGTATTGTTGACATTAATAATTTACGTGTAGTCAGCACTAGGTACGTGTTTTGTATTACAACATCCAGATTCCGATTGAGGGAAAACAAACTGTATTTTTCTATAGTTGTTCTTCACTAATTTATTTCTGTTTCATTTATAACTTCTGCTGAATAGAAACATCTATCTTAATGTAAAAACAATTAGAAATCTCCTTGGTACCTCTAACCAGGAACGCGGAAGAATGTCAGGAGTGCTAGAAATGAGGCAACCTGGTGAAAACAGCGAAAAGTGACTTCAAGCTAATGTCTCATAACTCTGTAAACTTCATTTCCTGTAAAACTTTGTGTGACATCATTGTATTGATTACTATATGTATTTTATATACATGAACATTTTTTTTTGCAACATTTTTTTTATTCTTTTAATTAAATATCCACTGTGATATAATCTTAGGGAGCTTAAATCACTGCGCAAGCTGTTACAAAATATTTTATGCTGCATTTCAGAACAGATAGTATCTTAGTTGCAAATATAAGCGTACTTTCATACCGGTGATGAGAATGTCCGTTAAGTATTCATAAGTTACTCTAGTGTATCAGGAACTGCTTACCCTTTGGTAGTACCTGAATTTAACTTGGTTTTTGATAGGGGTCGTGTTTGTCAATTTTTGGTTTTCTGTGTAATGTTTTGCTATGTTTTTTTGTCTTTCTTGGTTTTTTAGTCTTTTTGAACATTGTGTTGTCTGTTTTATTGGACTTTTGATGTATCCTTTTTTCCTTCTCATTAGCGTTGTAAAATTCATCAAATACGAAGCTCTAGGAGAAATCGGGTTTTATTTTTATTTCAAATGACTGTGGAGCTATGATTAGAAGATGTATCCACTGTATTATTTGGGTGAACTATAAATTAAAAATTTCAGATTTATAACTGATTAATCTGTGTTTGACAAAATCCACATTGGATGAAAGCAACGCCCTATCTGGCCACTAATTGGTTGTATATTGATACCATTTTACAAAACTATCATAAGTCTGAATCTGCTTACTGGAAAAGTCAAGTTTTGTTTTTGTCCTACATGGAAAATGGCATATTAAAAAGAGAACAGCCCCTAAATGATCATGTGTATTCTTATGAATTTCTTTGAGATCTAAGAAAAAGTAAAATATCAGTCTTATAAAACTTCAGCCGTTTTAATTTCGTTAATATTAACATGATAATGTCTGTCATTACCAGTAGGGTCCTTGTCATCAAAATTTTAACAAACATATTAAATATCTTTCAATAAAGTACCGCAATATTAAATCATTAGAATAATCAAAATAACTATAGGAATTATTAATCACACTACTTGAAACAATACTGGACATTCATTGGTGAAACATTTAGGGGTTTTTTGGTCCACTAATTCTGAAGATTAAAACTCATTCTATAATTAATCAAGATGTGACCAAAAAATCTTTATTTTTTGCTCACTTCTTTTTTATGCTACCAGTGAGGACTTTATACCTTTATGTTTATACAATGTATTGATTGTGATGCAAATTAACCCGTACAATAACATTTGGTGAATATATATATTGGTAATCTATATCTTCATAGTGAGACTATTTCATATAAATAAATATATACTTTGTACATAAATATTATGGTTTTTTTTAATAAACATGTCAATAAAGTCATTAGGTGTGTCATTATGTCAAAAGGATATGTGTGTGTTGACTCTTGATATAATAGTTCTATTCGTAAATTATTGGTCATGTTAAAGTTTGTAATTTAAAAATAGAAAAATTTTAAGAAATAGAGAATACCAAATCGACACACTCTACACACTTCCAAGGTAATTTCAAAATTGATTTTAATTTCACTAACAAATTAAATATGAAATACTTTGAATATCACCTGAAGACTTATGAATATTATTACCATTATCTAATGCAAGAATTTTCATGGAGATTTATTTCCTTGCTCTCAAATGTTTTATTTTTTCGGCGTTAAACTACTTGTCGTTTTGATGCTTACGAGATGAAAATACTTTCAAAAATAAACTCGATCTTTTACCTTGTATCTTAGATGAGTTTTTACAATCACTGTTGAATGCCATTTCTTGTCGACGTTTCGTCCCCATCGTAGGGCGTTTTCCTATTTAAGTTAAAAGCTTACGCTCGTGCATGATCACAATATTCAGACTACTCGGTGTGCTCCGTACATAAAAACTGCTTCAACAGAGATATGACGAAAACAACTGAAATCGACAGATCACAAATTGGTTGACTGGCAATTTCGGTGTCTCAACTCACTAGCAACATGTTTCCGCAGTCTTTAGATCTTTAGATACCAGTAAAGTTGTCTGATCTGTAACTTTACCGATTGTGTCCTATTCCAGAATGTGACATTTTGACTGAATATGAATTCGCATGGCGGGTGATGCATAGCAGTAGATGCGTACACCGTCAATGCACCCGGTCTTTCCACTTTTTGGAATTCATGTGATTCCCTCAGTTATCTTGATTTGTCTCTTCCTGATCGATTTGCGAGATTTGAACATCGGTTTATTACTGTCGCCTTAATATATCACCAGCTCATTATTCATCACTCATATGCCGCCATGAAGTATCGTTTGATAAGGCAATTTTCGGATCATTCACCTAATGTCATAAAATGTAACTTGATATCATTCAAACACGGGTTACACTAATGTCCTGACAATGTCCTGACCGATATGAAAATGCTAAATACTTTTTTTTTATTGAAAGGCTTGACTTTAAATTTGGAACCAAGCAAGATGACACATTCCTGAAATAAATACAAGAAAACAAAATTAAAAAAAATATTTTTATGAGTTAGAAAACTTGACCTGACCAATTTTGACTTTTACTGACTAATGTCCTGACCGATATGAAACTGCTAAATACTTTTTTATTTAGAAAAGGATTGACTTCAAATTTGATATCAAGCAAGTTAAACATTTATTTAATTATTATTTGAAAAAAATGGCAAAAAAAATATTTTAAAGTTAAAAAAATTGACCTGACTAACATCGACTTTGCCCTAACTAATGTCCTGACCAATATAAATATGCTAAATACATTTTTATTATGGGCATGATTGACTTCTTATTTTAAACCAAGTCAAATTCTCAAGTTTTTTTTTACTTTAATATCATAAACAAATTGAAAAACAATATCTCAGAGGTAATAACAACTTGATCTGACCACTTTCAGCTTTATTAAACTTAATACACAAACATTAACGTTAAACGGTCTTACCGTATATTATCATTTATCCTATCCATAAAACACAACATCCAAGGCAAATACATATTTTTAAATGAAAAGATAGGGGAAATATGAGTACAAGTTGCTGACTGTGAGTATTGTTCACCCATCCTCACATAACCCTATTTTTTAATTTGATTAAAGTAATTACTGAATTATTAAACCAAGGATTTGTATAGTAACTATACAAATTATTGATTAAACAAAATTAAATATTTATGAAAAGTTCCTATAATAACGATGTTAATTATTTTTAATAACCAAGTAAATGCAAAGTATTTTTCCCTAGATGCAAGAATTGACATTTTTAACGTTCAACATTAAAATTGTGTATACTTTGTTTCATTTCTTTTTGATTCTAACTTAATTTTAATTTGTATGCTTGTATATGCACATCGTTTTCAAACAAAACGAAGCACATGTCCTGCCTTTATGTGACATTTATAATCACACAATAACTAAATTTACAAAAAAGAATAAGTATAGATAGGTAAGTAAACATTCCAATTTGTGATTACAGTAATTTATATATAGGTCTGATCAGGGATTTGTATCACAATCCTTGGTTTGATTTAATTTTATTTGTTAATGTTACCTTCTTTGTTTTAATTCTTGCATCTAGGAAAAAAACTTTGCATTTACTTAGTTATTAAAATCATTATCATATGTAGCTTTTATAATTATTAATTGGGTTTAATAATGCAGTAATTAGTTTCATTACTTGCACTAAGGATTGCATAATATACAAATAAATCCTTGCTTGCACTTAAGCAAATTAACAAATAGGGTAATTATGAAAGGAGGGGTAAACAATACTCAGAGTCAGCAACCTGTACTCATATTTCCCCTATCTTTTCATTTTACAATATTTATTTGCTTTGGATGTTGTGTTTAATGGATGGGAAAAATATAAGTTCAATGATAATATACGGTAAGACCTTATAAAGTTTATGTTTGTGTATTAAGGATGTATTCTTCTGACGTTTCAGTCTCGTTGAAATCTCGTTCTGGAATTATTTACAAAACATGTGATACAAGTGGAAAATATCAATGAATTTTAAAAATGTTATAATTAAACTTAACTCTGTGAAAAAATTGTGTATTTACAATGAGTGGTTTTTGAGTAATCAATTTTTCAAATTTTACGACCAATCAAGTCAGACTTTTTAGCCAAAATTTTGAGAAAAACGGTGAGGGGTACAAAAAATGATTTTACCAGGATCATGTACATCCTATGTCATATTTTTCTTTTCAAATTTCTCAGATAAGTATTTTTTTCAATCATTTATAATAAAAAAGTTGAAATAATATGCATTTTGTTCTTAAAACTGAGAAAAATCACAAATTTACAAAATTGACAGCATGGTAAATTTGACACAAAAAAGCATCAAAATATAATAAACTTTCTTATATTAACACCTACCTATAGTTTTTTAGTTAAATTTATTGAAATTGGTCCACTTCATCTTTATTGAAAGTATGAAATAAAAGTTTCATTGTGGAACTGTGATTTTTTTTCCAGAAAACAGCCCAAAAACAGGTAAAAATTTATGAAAAACGGGAAAATCAACAAAAAATAAACCCAAAATCATGTTAAGAAAAAAAGTTTAATTCTAGAAATTTTTGGCTCCAAAGAGGTGTACATCCTTAAGTTTAATAAAGTTGAAGCTGGTCAGGTCCAATTGTTATTACCTTTGAAATATTGTTTTCCAATTTGTTAATGATAAAAATAAAAAAAAACTTTGAATTGGTTTCAAATAAAAATACAATCATATCCGTAATAAAAAAGTATTTAGCATTTTCATATCGGTCAGGACATTCGTCAGGACATTGTCAGGACATTAGTGTAACCCTTCAAACACCTAGGTTTTTACACCTCAAACTTTTTAAATTTTTATTTCAACAATTGTGTTCCTTCTGTTACCTTATTGTGTAAGAATAATTGTATAAAGTCACCATCAATGTACCAGGCTCATAACTTTGTTCGCCAGACGCACGTCTCGTCCTATTAAGACTCGTCATAATTATAAAGTTGAAAAGCATTAAAAATATACACATTTGCGTTCTAACCCCGACCTTTATTAAGCCTGATGGTGAAAAACATATAAAACGCCTTTCGTGACATATGGTCATGGTGCAGATATTCTACAAAAATGTGAGAAAGATATTTAAATATATATAAACGATTTGGTTTTCTTGATTTGATCCAAAACTTAACATTTCAATTATCCAATTCTGACATTTCAGTTCATCATAATTTGCTTGAAAGCTGAATGATACTGTCTTATGCCACAACACATCTAAGAGCATTTTTTTTTTTTTTTTGGCATATTTTTTTCAAAATAAAAACTCATTCAAAGATACCAGGTTTCTAATTTGTTACGCTAGACACATTTGTTCTACCTAAGACTGTTCAGAAGTTCACGAATAAAAAACGTTGAAAGGCCAAAATCGAGCACTAAGTTGAAGAGCATTGCAAACCAAACATTTTGAAAAGTTGTGCCAAATACCGCTTAGTCTATCTGGGCCTGATCAAAAACCCTTAGTGTTTCGAGTGATTCCAATTTTATGAACAGAAAATTTACAGAAATATGAAAATCTCAATAATATTTCATGCCAACACAAAGTACTGACTACTAGGCTGGTGATACTCATAGGGACGAAACGTAAACCAGCAGTTGCATCGCCCCAATGGTTATAGTACTCGTCAAAGATACTAGGCTTATAATTTGTTAGGCCAGAAGCGCGTTTTGTCTACATAAGAGTCATCAGTGTCACTCGAATAAAAATGTTAGAAGACCAAACTAAACACGAAGCTACAGAGTATTTCCGAAAAGTTGTACCAGCTCACGCTAAAAGGCTGATATACAGTTGAAACTAAACAAAAGAAATGAAATTCTTTATGAGAGAAGGTAAAAAAGGCCAAGTTGGTACATTTGAATTGTTTATATCTGTTTCTATGGGCTTTAAAAGTTTAATGCAAGTGCATAATTTAGTATTTTATGCATATTATATACGTGTTTTTATTTAAATTATAGTATGGAGCTTTGAGATATTTGTTAAATTAAAGACAAATTTCCACAAAACAGTCGATTGTGGTAGGTGTAAATACATGTGGATCTTTTTTGTGCATACCCATAAATTCCGCCAATAAATATTTCACAGAAAGATAAAAGATTGATCTTTTCAAAGCATTAATTTGAATCTCTGCCACCGGCGACTGTTTTTTGCAAAAAAAAATAAAAATGGGCGATAATGTCATGGAAAAGGGAAAGTAGAGAACATCTTTATATGTTCACGCGTGTTTGAGTTGACTTTTTTGTCTTGAAAGCGTATAAAGCAAAAATATTTGATGCACCATCTCGCTTCATATTATATTATTTTTATACATTTTGGCTAGAGGT